TATATATACATACATATGACCACCCCAGTTTCCATATTGAAATACTGAGGTCTAGAGATATTTTTAAAAGTTGCCAGATTAGTCTTGTCACTTTAGTCTTGGATTGTTATACCTGGTTGAGCAGGAAACTCATGTGTTATATGCCTAGTCCCCAGTTGGTGGTGCTATTCTGGGATCTGTGGAAACTAGAAGGTAGGGCCTAGCTGGAGAAAGTAGGTCACTGGAGGTGTCTTTGAAGGTTATGCCTGGCCCAAGGTCCCTGTCTCGCTCTCTGCTTCCTGTCCACAGTGAAGTGGAAACTTCATTTCCCAAATGCTCCCACCACCATGATGTACTGCCCAAGCACATGGGAACAAATGACCAAGGATTGGACCCTCACACTGAGTTGGCACAGCCATACACAAACAGCTAACTCAGATTGCATGTGCTTCCTTAATTACATCAAGGGGAAGAAAGTAGTCTCTACCTTCAGGTGTTTTTACCATTCCGAACTTTGATTTTCTCTTCTTTAAAATGAGAACGAACGCCACAACCATGTTGGATGGTAAAGACCCCAGGAGTTGTGTTCAGTTCTTGGAATACATCCAGGGACTAATAAAGGATGGCGGTCATGCACAAGCTGTTAAGAAAGGGATTCTAGACTTTCTCCTCTGTTAGCTGAGCTTGTACATCCACCTCTGGTCTTTGGACTGTTGGTCTGTTCATCAGTAGACAATTCTGGGGGGAGAACAGGCTTCCTGTTCCAGAGCCACTGAAACCACACTGTACCTGGGACCATACTGTGAGGGATTTTATTTTTCCTTTTTAATTGATTTTTTGTGAATTAGATATAATGTATTTTGATCATATTTAGATCCCTTCCTGGGTCTGTATATATATGTACATATATTCAGATTTGTGTCCCCAAATGTCCTTCAGTGTGGGTTCATCCACTGCTGCTTGTTCAACCTACAAAGTGTCTCACCCTTAAATGATACTGAATCTCTCCTCCCAGTCACCATCTGTTGCCAATTAGTTCCTCAGGTAGGGTTTTTTTTATTTATTTATTTACTTCTCCACATCTATGCTGCGATTTTGTCTGGCTTGAGCTTACACGGGACTTGTCCATGCTGTCACCATTGGTGTGAGTTCATCTGAGTAACTGCCCAGCTGTCTGGAAAGCTCCATTTCCTTGTGGTCATTCACCTCCTCTGGCTCTTACAATCTTTCCACACCCTCTTTCATAATGACCCCTGAATCTTGGGAGGCAGACGTTTGATACGGGAGTCCTATTCAAGGATAAGAACTCTGCAGCCTCTTGTCCGTTGCACATCGACCAGTTGTGGGTCTCTGTGTTATTCAACATTTTCTGTGTAAAGAAGCTTCTCTGCTGAGAGTTAAGACATGCATTAATCTACGGGTTAACAATAAGTCGTTAGAAATCAGTTTAATAGAATAATTGTATTAGGCTCTTTCCAATGGCCCATGGGATGTCTAGCCTCAGGTTTATAGGCCTGATATCAATGTCAGGTATGGTTCCATCCTATGAAACGGACCTTGAATCCAATTAGAAAGTAGTTGGTTACTCCTATGAAATTCATGACATTTTTGAACTGGTGGGCATAACATGCCAGTCCAGTTATTGTTGTAGATGGCAGGATTCATATCTGGGTAAGAGTCATATTAACTTTTCTCTTTAGGTAGCTTGCATAGTTCCTTCCAACCCCATGAAATCTCTACAGTAGAGATGAGGCTCTGAAGTCAGCACCAGCTTGATTTTTCCTTGTTTGTTCTGCAGTTCACGTATGTAGTATCTTTAGAAACAGTCTTAACGGGAAGCTCTGGTGGGTAACCAAAAGCAGGGGAAATTGCCAGTATTATTTGAGGGTCTATGAGATCTCTTGTCAACAGCTTCGTAAGAGGGAATTCATTCCTAGCATTGGGCTTTTACTTTGCAAACCTATGGTGTCTAGTTGGGGTAATGCTCCCATATTATAACTCCTTTTAATTTCTTTTTATAAAGAATTATACACAAGTGTATAGATGTACATAAAAATATATATTTTAAGTAGTTTCTATAGTAATAGCTTTCCATATGGCTTTTTATAAGGACCTTTTATCCCTCCCCACACTCCCCTCTCTGCCCTACCCTCCCATTCTCTACCCCATCTAACCCTTCCTACTCTATGATTCCCTTTCCCCCTTTACATCCCTGCATTCTACTTCACCTCCCAGGAAACCCGCTCCCCATAGCCATTTATTAGTTTCTTGACCTCTCTGGATTTTCAAATTGAAACATGCGTATCTAAGATTTCAAAGCCAGCATCCAGCAGAGAGAAAGAGCATGTGATGTTTTTGTCTTTCTGGGTCTGAGTTACCTCACTTACAATGATTGTTTCCAGGTCTACCCATTTACATGTGAATTTCATTTTGTTTAAGAACAGAATAATATTCTGTCATGTGTATGTACCACACCTTAATTATCCATTCAGCAGCTGATGGATATCTAGGTTGTTTCAAACTCCTGAGTATTATGAAAAGGGCAATAATGAACATGGATAAACAGGTATTTCTATAGTAGGGTATCGAGTCCTTTGGGTATATGCCCAGGAGCATTATGGCTGGATCAAATGGTAGCTCAATTTCTAGCATTTTAAGGAGCTGTCACACTTGATTTCCATAGTGGCTATACCAGTTGGCACACCACCAGATAAGCGTTCTCCTTTCTTGTGAGGGATTTTAAAATAATGATTTTCACATAGTGAGCACCCAGTATATACCAGTCACTGTCCTAAACACCTTATAAAATGTTAAGTCGTTTAATCCTCACAACTCAGGGTAGTGTGCACTATTTATCTGAATACTTTATAGCTGAGAACACAGAAAGTCAGATGCCAAGTGATATGCCCAAGGATGCTTCTACGTGAGGGGTCTGGAACCATGAATGTTTTGTGTTTCTGATCTTTGGTTGAATAAACGAGAAAAGAGGAGATTTTGTCTGACTGACAGAGCATTTACTCTAAGGGCAAAGGTTTGGCTCTAATTCGAATATGTCAAGTGTCTTTTTATTTTTTGCATTTTTTAGGATCAGTGTGTGCCAGATTAATTAAGCCCTTGATTGATTGATTGATTGACTGATTGATTGTGTGTGTGTGCACGTGCACATGTGTGTTGTGGTGTTTGTGCGTGCCTATGCTCATGCATGCAGAGGCCAATGTTGAATGCCCTCCTCTATCCACTTTATTTTTTTGAGACAGAATCTCTCAACTGACATTTCAGTTAGGCTGGCTGGCCAGTGAACTCCAGGAATCCATCAATCTCTGTCCTCCAATGCTGGGGTGTATGCGTTTGTGCCTGCCTTTTAAATGGGGGTCGGGAATTTGAACTCAGTACCCTTTGTTTTCACAGCAAGTGATCTTACCCACTGAACCATAGCCCTGGGCGTGAATGAAACCCTTTAAAGACATGAATTCTAAAATTAAGTAGCCACTTCTATGTCCCAACTCTTTTTGTTCTGGTTTTAGCAGGCATCCCAAGGATCACTGTGTTTGCAGGGAAAGCTAATTGCTGTATCAGCTATCAAATCATAAATGTTCTTTTCCTGCTTATATCCAAGTCCTACATGGGTCTTCAGAGGAGCTCTGCTCCACGCAGTCACTCAGGCACCCAGGTTTCTTCCACTTAATGACTCAACGGCCACTTAGGGCCTGGAGTCCTCTACTGGAATCTCCATTCAGCAAATGGGGAGATGATATATAAACCATGCACTGGGCCAAGCCAGGCCTGGACATGATGTCTGCAGAGGAATGCAATGTGTGGTCATAGGCCAGCACAAAGACTCACAACTGGTCAGTGTGCAGAGATGAAGAAACTGTGCAGTGCTCAGCTCTATTCAGTTCTGAATAGGACATCTATATCACACTTTTTTCCCTAAGGTTCAGGGATCATTGTGGAAGAGGTGGGTGGAAAGAGTGTAAGAGCAGGAAGCAAAACATTATTTGCTGTACACTCAGGGCCACTGCACATATGAACTCATAAACTTGCAGCAGCCATGACTGCATGCACAAGGCCTTCATGAGATCAAGCCAGTCAATATTCCAGTATGGGCAAGTGAGGGGCTCATGAAGTCTCACCTTTCTCTGTG